TAAACGTTTAACTATCATAGTAAAACACCTTTTTCCGTTTGAAGAAAAACAATAAACATTTTTGAGTGTTTTCAATATTTTAAACACCAGGGTATTTAGATTTAAAACGCTAAAATGTTTAAATCTGAAACATCTTTCTTCATTAAACGCTTGTTTTGGGAAAAACGTTTTAAATCTAAACGTTCCCTTTAATTCACTTTTTAGAGTGCGGTTTCGGCTATACGACACGAAGTAAAATGACGTTAAAAACGCAGTCACAAAGCACAATTTAAAGAAAAAATCTATTAATATACTTGGACAATATATATGCAAATGTCTTCTCTTTAAAATTTTAATATATTAAATATTAAATATTATATACCAGGAGTGCTCAACTAATCGATTGCAATCTACCGATCGATCGCGATCTGATTTTTTATAATCTTTACATTTTGATTTTTACTTTATTTGATTCTATTATAAAATTTATATTTATAATTTTTATATTTATTTTGCTTCTATTAATTTGTTTATATTTTGACACTAAATTTTCTATTGATAAGTTTAACTTCGAAATCATATTCTAATTTTGTATTATTTCCAGCGAACATAGATAGATTTGCGAAATCACTCTATTAAAAAAAGAAAAGTAGCTTGCATGTACAAGGTTGGGCAGCACTGTTATATACCCTTGAATGAATAAACATACTGCGCATATAATAAATTACAATAAATTCTGCTCTTTGTGCACAGAAATTTTTTATAATGACTTTTTTTACGTGACAAGGTTACATGATCACATAATGCCAATTTATTAATGTTAACAAACTGCTCGTGATATAAATTATTCGCGCGGGATTCACATAAAAATAGTTATCCATTTATATCAAGAAAGAATTTTTAAAGATTTAAGAACATTGCAATCAAAAAACGTTTTAAAGATTCAACCTAGATTTCAATATCCTTAGCGTAATAAATTTATTATTATACAGAATTGCTATATAAATATGTGTGTGTGTGTGTGTGTGTGTCGTGTGATAATTCATAAAAATAGAATACCATGAAGAATATATCGTTTCCAAAATATAAAAATACTGCACACAAGAATGACACCTTTTACTGAAAACCTCATTCCCCTCCCTTCTTCTAAATTGTGATTAATCGCTCTCAAATCGATCTAAATCCGTTTAGTCAAAATGCTATAAGTATAATGTTGAATAGTAAGACAAGATAAAAGTGCTTATTTGCATTTTTCATGAAACAGAAACGTTTTTGGCATATTTTATGCGCATTTTCACGATCGCCTCCGACACTCTTAGGACCGATTGTTTCAACTTCTTGGTAGGTATCCGTCAGTTACCCGTCAATTACAGTTATTAATAAATATCAGTAATCATCACTCTGTGGTTGGAATACCGAGTAAAATTACCTCTATTGTTATTATCAAGAGGTAATTTTACTTGATATTCCAACCATCGACTAAGGATTACTGATATTTATAAATAGATAACTGACCTACCAAGAAGTTGGAACAATCGGCCCTTAAATAATTAATAAATATATTGCATAAATATATTGCCTTTTGAGAAAACAATGAACTCATATTGTATGTATATGCATATTCGACGAAAACAATCGGCGTAGCCGATAAAGTCACATATATTTATATGAGTTCGACAAAAACAATTGACATATGTAATCAAATGTTATGCAGAAAATAAAATATCAAAACAAAATGTATAAATATTTAAAAAAATCATTTTTCAAAATTAAATTTACTTTATTAAATAAACTCAATTTTTTAAAATTAAATTTAATTTAAAAAATTTAATTAATTAAATTTAATTTAATGATATAAATAAATTCAGAAAAAATGTATTTATATCATTCCTGAAAAATTTGAAGTGAAATTCGGAATTCCGTACAAGGAAGGTTTTCTTAATAATCGAGACAATTAGTTTTTAGAATGTTATTATCAGCACATGGAAGTTTCGTATTCATCTCATAAAGTAAAGATTAGACAAAAATATCAATTATAACAATTATTTATAACAATTATAAACCAGAGAAGGTGGCCTCGCGCGCGATCCGCAGAAGCGCAACTGCAGACTTGTATGTGACAGCCGTCTCTAATAAAATAAAATTAAAGTAGTTCTGTAATACAATCAAGAGAGATAATTAATACAGGTAATTACGGCGTCTATTATTATATTACAATATCGTAAAATATCACAAAATTAATATCTGCCGAGCGAAGTGTGAAATAAACAATCTCCGATCGTGTTTTCTGCAAAATGTGGTGTTCGGCGAATGAGCGGGATTCGAATCTTCACACGTCACGATCATTTATACTCGCCATTTTTTTTATTGCGGGCGTGCATTGTCATCGCAACGTTTAGATCTCGTTACTGTGGCAATTAAAGAGCGATATCCTACTTTATGCTCCTTCTCTTAACGTAGTAACGTACAAAAACGAGGAATCGTTTGTGTCTCTCATTCGGGAAAGATACTCGCACGCAAAGACATTTCTCCAAAGCGAGAAGCTCCGCTTAATAAATTAATTAACATTTATCGGTGAATGCGCTCCGCTACGAAAAAAATCGTCGTTTCTCTGGTAGTATCGAACGTATCTTATAAATAAAAAGACTCTAGATGATATATCTTGAATGAAAAAATAGCTATCACGCGCATTTACAAGGAAGCTTGCGAATCGATTTAGGTTCCAACTCGCCATGATTAAATGTGAATAATACAATTGCTATAATACAATCAGTCCTCTCTTAATAACAAATGGCGTTGTATCTCTCGATTAACGAATTCACGATTTTAATTGTATTTGAATTATAAGTCCAATATTTACTTTTGTAACATGTAGGAACTACAAATTACAAACAAATTCAAATTTATTAAAAAAAGTTATGAAAAAAAATATATGAAAAATATCAGGGACTCGGACCGCATCGGAATCGAAACCGATAATAGGTTGAATTATTTTCGGTTTACGGTTTCTTTCAGTTTTTTTTTCTCGATGCCTACTCTATACTTTGTTACTGTATTATTTTTCAAAGTAGTATAAAAAACATTTATTCAGCAATAATATTTCTATTATTTAACATATTCCCTCTGGAATTCGAGACATTTTTCCCAAATTTCTAGAAGTTTTTTATATCCTATTTGAAAAAGGTTTTCAGCTGAGTACGTATAATTTTGCTTGCGGCCGGCGACAGTGAGATTCATTTTCGACGCGTTCATGTCCTTGTTTGAACATATCGCACCAATTAAACACTTGAGATTTTGAAAGACAATCATTTGTAACTGTTTTTTCAAGTGTTTCATAAATTTCGGTTGATTTTATATTTGAACCTCATTCTCGTCGGCCACGTGCAAAATTGGAAAAGTACTCAGTTAAAAACCTTTTTCGAAAAAAGTATTAAATAACTTTCAGAAATTTGGGAAAAATATCTGGAACTCCAGGGGAAATATGTAAAATAATAAATATATAATCTTTGAATAAATGCTTTTTGTGCTACTTTAAAAAAATCGGTCTCGTTAATATTTGAACAACCTAATATTTTTTTGTATAAATCTAATTATCATCACTCTTTCTATAGCTACTTTTTAGTGTACTGATTCTCTCTAATTGCAATGTCCATTTTACAAATCGGTCATTTAGCGCTTTTATAAATTGTCTGCATGCAATTTTGTCGCGTTTGAAAGCAATTTCCATCACGCACTTGATAAACTAACCACGCTAAACGTTTTATGTCCGTTTCTAATGTGTCTATTTCTTCTCCAAACTTTTGCTTTTAATTTGTAAATAAGGTATAGAATGTTTTACTTATACAGGATTACAAATATCCTTCTCCGAATCACAATTTTAATTTAAATTAATTGTGTTAAAACAAATTTTAAAAGAATCGTAATCGAAACAACCGCTAATTAAACGGTTTCAATTCTTTTTTATTAACTAAAAAATCGAAACCGAAACTGGAACAGTTATCAAATATTTTATTAGACCGTAATCGAACCGAAGTATGATATCGATCCTAATCCCTGAAAAATATATTAATAACATCCCAGATAGCAAATCTGGAGAAGCTGCAATTTCTCCACGCTCCACATTCATTCCATGACGTGGAGAACAATATAATTTATCAATTTTGATCAAATATAAACTTATGTGAAACTCATGTGAAAAGTGAAACACCATACTAGTTCTCAATTATTAACTAACAAATGGGATCTAAAATTTCAATTATCAATGATTAATTATTGAACTTATAAGCGGACTTATAGCTCGAGCAATTATTGCTTTATAACATAAAGAAATTTATTTCTCAAATATATATATCAATTATTGTACTTGTTAAATTCTCAAATTCTAAATCAATTATGAACCTTTTCAGTTGATTTAACGATTCTAATCTAAAAATATTAAACTCAATTGATATAGAATTAGGCAATAATTGAGAACATTTATTTTCAACTTGGAATTGATCTAAAATTGGTCTATTTTGCGAACATACTTACTTAGACCAATAATGGAAATAATCTCAATTGTATTAATTAGTTCTGCAGGAATTCTAGAGATATTTTTCTATCTGGGATAATAATCATAATAATTAATAAAATAAACTTGAAACTTATTAATAATAATTGTACAGTATGTCATTTCACTTTCTGGAAACAATTGCAAGCTTTCAGTCGCCTTAAACCACTTCTCTCAAATTGCTTACACTTATTTCTCAAATCACTTACAGATTCCTTTCACAGTAGGTAACCCCTTGTGTACTGCGCAATCTTTCGGTTCTTTACAAAATATGCAACTTAGAATCGACTTTTAGTCTCATCATAGCAGTTGAGAGTTAATTCAGAAATCAAGTTATTAATTCAGAAAGTTTTTGAATGAAACTCATGAGCAACACGATACAAACTTGATCGTATAAAATTGAAACGGTATTGAAAAATACTCGAATTATGTAAGAAGGAAAAACGCACGAAACAAAAGGAGAAGAAAGAAAGTCAATCTATTTAACGATCTATTTATCAGAAAAACATACAGCGTGACAGCTGCTTCTCATCGAAGATGTGATTTGCGATTGGATACATGATTTTACCGCCTTGGATAAATGTACGATGAAAAAATGTACGCATCTAAAAAAAAGGAGAACGCAACAGCGAGAAGAAACGTATCAGATCCATTTATTTATTGAAAGCGGCGGGAAATACTTAGAAAATTATCGAGAGAGGGCTGCTCGCTACCTCAGACGCCACCCAGGTTCGATACGAGAAACCGACTCCGCAAGTTGCTTCAGAGAAGAAGCGTTTGTGCACACGACTTCACACTTTTTTTCCTACAAGCCGCGAGGGCCGAAACGCTCAGACTAATTTTCGAAGCGGACCCCGTGGGCGCTGGAAGTACTCATTACTCTGCGACAATACAGGCACACCTAAGCGCACACATTGATCCTCTTTTTTTTGTTCCCCAGGCATCTGAAGAATCCTCGAAAAGGAATGTACACGCGCTCGCATCACACACACATACATACACACACACACGCACACACACACAACCCGCGCGCGTTCGCATACTTTTAATACATCAGCACAATGTACACTAGCAATTACAGATTATTCCTGTACGGGGAAAATGTATGTATACAACACCAGCGATTTTAGCTACGCAACAGTTACTACAGCCATATATACAGATTACTATCGATTAACCAGTCACGCGAATTCAAAAGTTCACCGGGTCTTGGAAAAGGTTCGACGAAACGAAAAGATCACTCTTTGTCGAGAGCTCGAGAATAAAATAATTCAGTACATAAATTATTCAGTCATAAAATATATATATTACACTAAAAATGTCTTAACGTTTATTTTCATAAAAAAAAAATAGAGCGAATCGGCTAGTTTAGAAATACTAAAGTCTAATAATTAAAGTTGTTCAGAAAGTATCAAAACTATTATTTTTAAAGCAAAAATATTGTTTTTCAAATAGAATTATATTTAGAAAAGGAAATATATATATATTTGCATATTGTATATTATATTTTTACATTTTTGTAATTCCATGAATATAGTTCAATATTGAAAAAATTATAGACCTATATTATTCTTTAACTGCCCGATTCATTTATTCCAGCTCGTTTGATTCATATTCCAGCGTTTTATTTTAAACACATCCTTAAATTAATTACATACAAAGATCTCGCAAACAGTGATAGAGAATAACAGAAAATAATCATGAACGGTAAAAAAGTATATGCCATATTATAAAGCAGAGATACATTGTTAATACGCAAAAATCGTAAAAGTACAATTCGAAAGCAAAATATCGACAGAACGTGATTCGCCAACATTCTATGCTCAGCTGATATTATCAGAAATGTCGTGAGAAGTACTTTTATAATGTAAAAAAACGAAATCATAATACTTCAATCTGATATTCCCTTTAATGCTTATCTTGGTTCGCTTTACAGTACGCACGTTACACATGGTATGATCATAGTATCGTTATAAGTAGATAAATAAAGTTGGCGCTAAAAGTTTCACTGTGTTATTCCCCATCGTGAAGTTTCGTCGGACCTTGACCGTGTTTCGTTTTCCATTATTTCTGCCTTCGTTCTGTACTCTTTCACGGTTAAACTTGATTGACTAACGCTCCTCTCAAGCGAAGCATGCTTGACGAGGATCATTGTGCTTCGTTTACAAGGAAGAAAATATGTATACTTGTCTCTGAATTACTTCAAAAACATGCACCTCTGTTTGCTCGACGTCACTCTTGATGAACGACGATTATCTGGACGACGGTATTGCCTTTAATTTCTCTACGCGCGCGCGATTTATACATTATAAATCATACGTCGTAGATCGTAATCATACGGCAGCGTTGTGTGCAGATTGCGTTTGTTGCGCGGGATTCTGGAAAACGCGGAACCCGAAACTCTATAGATATCGCTTTGAGCCGGCTGAGCATTAAAACACTGTACATAACAATCTCGTAAGCCGCACACAGACTGTTCAAGTAATCATGTTACGCGGAATGTGCACTTATGAGACAATTTAGCCTCTTTTGCGAATCCGTACAATGGATTTCGCGTGAAATAATCAACTCGAGCATTTCTGTTTCGATGGATATCAGTTTTGACTGTCGAGGCGCGTGTTTTGCATGGAAATGAGCCATAATCTAAAACAATCTAATGCGAATGCGAGCGCGAGCTCGCGTCGCGTTTGGCTGCTCCTCTCCGAGTCGACAATTTCCCTCGTCCAACGTCGTCGTTCTACCTTGTGACTACCGCGGT